GGACTGCTAGGAAATAGGTTCCTGTTTCTTCTACAGGTATGGGCAAGCATAAAGCCAAAGTCCTTGCTTTTCAAGGGAGTTGCATCAATTGTTCCACAAATTGGAACAATTGATTGCAAAGAACTCAGGTTTATGTATCCAAGCAACTTCTCTGCATCCTGTGTATATTTTACCTTCTTTACCACTCTGTTCTGTGCTTTCCCTTTGTAGGATATCCACAGACAGCTTCCAGCTCATTTGTCCTGCATTTTGCACCAATCTTGCACAACTCCTTCCAAGCAGCACTGGAGAGGACAAGTCTAAGATACTCAAGGAATCTCTTGATCCCCTGTAGTGCAAATTTCTCCAGGTTGAAGCCTGAGCAGAAAGAGAAGAGCCTGCCAGCAAAAAAAGTCCAAACATGGAAGCCAGTGGACATTACACCCTTTCCAAGTGATTACCTCACTCAGTACACTCTGCTGCTCTGAGGGGCCTTGAACCCATGGAAACCTGTCCAGGCAGGGAAGCATGCTACTGCTTGGAGGCCTGCATCTGTCTGCCAACAATTGGCTCTTGTGTGAGTAAAGCAATTGCTAGGATTTTTACAAGGTGAGGGCTAGGAGAATCTTACTCCTCTGTTTAAGCACCTGGATTTTGGGTGGTGGGTGGAAATATTAAGTAATGGGAAAATAATTCTGTTCACATGGTATATGTGTGTGGGTGGCAGTATTCACACCTCCACTTACAGCTTCCCTTGATGTCTCTCTCAGACATGCTGGATTATCCCCTGAATCAGCTACCTTTTTCCACTGACTCATGTAGATTTGACTGATCTTAGGGACATCCCCAAAGTAACCTGCTGTAGATAATTCCAAAATGACCCTTGTTGTATGGTTGCTCTAGCCAAAAGTGATGAGGAAGAAAATACTCAGGTAGGTTTGCATCTACACTTCTTTTTCCTTACTGAAGAGCTGCTGATCTGAGGTGGGCACTCCTGGAAGACTGTGATTTTCTCTCCAGTAAGCTGTGTTGACAGTATCTCCTAACAAGTGGTGCTTTTGGCCTTTTCTCCTCACCAGCCCCAGCAAGCACTGATCCAGAGCAGATCCCAACTCTGATCAGTTTTTAAGAATCAGAAAGGAAACATCATATCAGCTTCTCATTGTCTCTTCCTGGAATATTTTGTAGTCCTTCTTGAACAGCCATGCCTCGCAAAAGCTTGAACAGGCTGGTCCTCACTTAACATTGTAGGGCCTAAGTAACCTCTTACTCCTCTGTAGGAACCTGTCCACTTACTTGGAGAAACAAAGCTTTAGCCTTGGGGTAATGATCGGGCAGGTGGTGTTTGTAAGGGGAAGACTGAGACTGTAACACCTTATTTGTTTTCCTATTGTCTTGTGACTGTCACATGAGACAGCAATTGGCAGAAGAGGAGAAAGGATTGCAGCCCCAGTGCACTCATGAAAAACATCACTTTGAACATGTCTCCACCAGACTATTCTCTCTTCCTTACAACTCAGCATGCTAAAGTCAGCCTTCTGTGTTTTGTACAATTAATGTTATGCTTTTATAGCTGGCTGATAAAGAGCTGTAAAATTACATGTTTTCAACGAGCAATTTAACATGTCCTTGTGTAAGTACCTCTTGTAAGCAAAATGCAAGTGCAAAATAAACCATTACCTCAATTATTTTGTGTCTGTGCATGAGTTACTAAATGACTTTGTGGTTATCCCCAAGCACATATACCAAAAAAGACAAAGTATGTTTCTGAGTGCTTGTTTCTCTAAATTGCCAGTGAACTGACTACTTGGCTATGGTTAAATGCATGCTTTTGTGCCTTATTGGTTTCTGAACTGAAAAGTTTTTCCTGCTGCAAAATTAGAGTCCCACGGCCTGATTTCAGCATTACACATGAATATAAACCTGAAGTGCAAATATGTTGACATTCACTGGAAATTGAAATCCTGCTTGAATATCTACCGGTATACAGCATCTTTTCTAGAGCAAGAATCCAGTCATACCTCCCAGGTTGAGCTCCTCAGCCATGGGGCTCATGATTGGCTGCTCTTCATGCATGGCTGGTGATGGGCACTGTGATGCCCCCAACCATCATCACCAGCTGTTTCATCTGAGCAGCGGAAGATTCTACAGTCAAGCAATGCTCAATCCCTGTGACCCACCAAAGTTAATGGTAAAGCTCCCATAGGGAAAAAATGGACTCAGAAAATGTCCCAGTCTTAGGATGTGCTAGATGTTTCCATTTTCATTGAAGGTGTGGGTGTCAGCCATTGAAAGAATAAGTACTTATCGTTAACATGGACAAGCCATTTTTTAGTATAACTTCAAAAATTTCCCAATGACAAGATTTTAGTTTGCCTTTTTTTTTTCTATACATATATGAGTGAAAGGGACATTCATGAGATCTGTAACGTCTTATCTCAAAGAACTGAAAGGAATGAAAGACCTATTTACAAGACCTGATGTTTGAAGTTCTGAAGGAGCTCTGTACACCCCACATTTTCAGCCAGTTTCACTTCCTGTGATGACATCAGATTCTCTTGGGTTAGACAGAAGAAAGCTCATCATAAACCCAACCCAAACAAACAAAATACACACAGAAAAGCGTCATCCACCAAAGAAAACAATAATGGAAACACTTACTTTATAAACTTGATGGACATTGCCAAATCGATCAAACTTGGAATATATTTAATTCATCATATCCACTGTTTGGAAGGGCTCCCAGACAGAATAGATATTTGTGATTGTCATAGCATCAGTGAAGAGTACTGTACAGGAATCAAATTCTCATGAGGAAGAACTCAGCTCCCAGATGTACATTTCCCCATAAAGGCTTCTATTCTTATTTGACTAAGTCGGCTATAGAATTTGACAACAGATTTCTGTAATTGACCAAATTTCTATTAATTGGTTTGAAAGCTGAAGAAAAGCTTCCTGTAAGAATAGGAAAGATTCCCATCTTTCCCTGTTTGGTAGCTGAATTATGCTGATTGAAGTTAGGACATGTCCCTTCAAAGTTTCTTTTGACATCCCAGCCTGAGTATTCTAATATCCGCAGCCTTGTTGGACAGGATTTGAGTCACTTCTATTTTGCATCTGTTTATAGATTGGATTTGCCTGAAGAAGTGCAAGTGCCCAGAGCCACACAGGGCACCTCACTAAAGGTATAAATTTGCAGCATTAACTCCAAATTCACCATCACCATTTTGTGCAGACATGCTGAAGCTAGGAATTCTAACACAAATAAACACACAGGCACCGGGCAGTAAGTTATTGTGTGCTACAGTCAGACACCTCTAGCTGTAGTGACTAAAAAGATCTTGTTTGGTAGATGTTGTACAGGACTTTGATGAGCTGGTATATTCCAGGCTGAAGAATAGAAAATACACATGCCAGAAATGCCCTCCTTTCCTGCTACAAACGATCTACTTTTACATCTACTTCTTCATAACAGGGTTCTCTTTTAAAAGGCTTTCTAGCAGTGGTATCAGGCATGAATTTATGATGCAACTCTCCTAGGTGGAGCTCCCAGGCAAGGCCTGTTCCTCATGTGCAGCCATCTGTTCCCCATCATCATAGCTGCAAGTGTCCCTGATGATGCTTTTATGCCCTGGGTGCTGTAATTCATCATCTGGAGAAAAAGAATACCTTGGAACTGCTCTAGTAAATGCACTGCTACAAAGGGAGCTGCAAAGTTTAAAACCATACATATTAGGAGGATGAGAGGACAAGGAAGAAACTTCCAAGGAAGGAACCAAGCTGATTCCTTAAGCTTCCTTAACCTAATATGTTTTGGCAGCATGGCATACAGCACAGTCTCTGCCTTTTCAGCCTCCAAATTCTTGGACCTCTTCCATGCTTCCTCTCCAGATGGTTTGAAAGCTCTATCTCTGCCAGGTGCCACTGGTTCATCACACGAAGATTTTTTTTGTGCCGCATCATGAGATGGAGTGTCAGGGAGTTTCACCTTCAGCTCCTCTAGTTGCATGAGGCTGAAAGTCTTGAGGGAGCCCAAGTGCATCCTACATTGCGTGAGGTCCACCCAGATCATCCAAGATTACCCTTTAAATAAAAGCACGTGCCAATGACACTATTAGCACACTCATTTTTCTCCTTCACACCTTCCCAACCCATGGATTAATGTGTGATAAAAACAATACAATCTAGCTACGCTTAATATTATTTAGGCACAACTATTAAAACTTATCCCAAGACTCCTTGGAAGGAAAGCTGAGGGAACAGGCTAGTATAAACAACTGAGGAAAGCCTCCTACAAAGGCTGAGGTACAGCTGTATCTTCAGCTCATCACACTCCCCACAGAGAGAGACACTATTTCTCTTTTTTCCACTATGCTTTCTAGAAGTAGACAATCAACTGCCTTGTGGATCTGGCTGATGTACCTGGCCACAGAATAGAAGAAGACCGTACTTTGCCATCCAGGAAGAGCTCTGTACACCCAAAAGACTTTCTAGGAAATAAATCCTGCCCTTGCTGCCACCCTTTATCTCCGTTCCCTGCCCTGTGACACAACAAAAGCAGGACTTGTTTCATGGATGAGAATCAAAGACATTTGGAAGGTTTTCCAGACATTTTAATCAACAGCTGTAATTTTCATGGAGACATGGACAAGATGTTCCAAATAAAGAACAAAAGTAGAGGTAACCTCATTTGTAATGATGCATTAACGAAAAGATTTTTTTAATGTGTTCATTGGCAACTTCTCTTCATTCCCACTGAAGTCAGAGCTAAAGTTTTCACTGGGAGCTGCCATGACAATGTAAAGAAACAACAAAAAGCCCCATGTCATATCTGAAAATTATATTTAAAATCTCAGGTGCTTAGAAATGGAAGTTGCTTAATGAAAAAAAAAATCTCCAGAAAAGCTGATATTCCGTATAATATTTGGGTTTATATAAAACATATTCACAAAATCTTCAGTTGCCTAATCTTTTTGTTTGTTAGATTTTTGTTGTTCAGTTTTCTTGTGGTTTTTTTTTTAATCTTCTCCTCCCTCTGGTTTCTTCCACAAAGTTCTCTGTAAAAGAACATATTAAGACAAAATAGAGAGACCAAGATCATGGAGAGGATATTGAGAGGCACAAATGCTGCTTGGGAAAAAAAAAAAAAAGCCTTGCTGAAGGTTTTCAATGTCCTTCTGTTCTTTGTACCTTCAGAAACCTTCTTTATCTGTAATAACCTGGTACCAGAGCCTCAATTGATTAATAGAAAAATATTTTTATTTTCCACAAAACAAAGTATCTTAACAAAACTGTTTTGTAAAACCTTCTCAATTTTTTTCATGGGATGATTTTTATGTGAAAATAGAAAACAGTGGTTTATGTAGGCTGCAGTAGGTCCAGAAAACCAGTTTTGTGAAAATGGTGATAGAAAAAGATTCTGCACATAATAATGCAAACATATTTTTTTATTGCTATACAAAACTTCTTTGTATAACACTAGAGAACTGCCTCTCTCCAGTGACTTGTGAGATGACTTTTTCTTCATTGCAAATATTCCCACGGACATAGAAAAGCAGGACTTGCCAGTTCATGAGGTTTGGTAGAAATGGCAGTATTTTGGCTGCCACAGCCTATTGAAATTCTGTGGCTGACCAGTGGAATAGTTCAAAAAGGAGAAAAAGAAGCCAAAGACAGTCACCCAAAACCACTGAACTGTAGCACATCTGGGAATGCATACGAATAAATACTGTACATGAATCCTGGCACATTCTGGATCAACAGTCCTTCAAACTGGGATGTCTCCTTTAGCTGGTGTACCTGTGTATGTGTGTGTGCACTAACACTGCTGGTGGTGGTAGGCAGCCATCAGCAGTGCCTATCTAAAATCTGAGGAATTACCATTCTGACAAAGAATAAATAATTTCTTCCTCTTCATCATCATTCCAGACATCAATGTCCCCTCTGACAACAGCTATCAAAGGTGTGTTGCATTTTTTGCACTTGAGCTTCTCTGGAAAGCTAACAGGACCATTCTTGTCTCCTCTTCTAGTTGTATAAGCAATCACAGTAATTATATAACTGATGAAAAACCAACTTTCTTTCAGGAAAAATGTACACAAAATAATTGAAAGAAATGAAGGGCGATCCAGAATACATATTTTTCCTGAGAAGATAACCCAATGTACCCCAAACATAAGTTAAGCAAAAAGTCTATGACAACCAGAAGAAAATAAACTCACTGCATATCATGGTCTGGCTGCATTTAGACAAGAAAACTTCTCCCACCAAATCCAAACTCTGCAATCCCTGCATAAATCAATGACATCACCTTTGGTGACTCACTGCTTACAATATTTATTTTCAGCAGGCTGTCTCCCTCGTGGGAAAGTGTCTGCACTGCTGAGACCCATAACTCATTCTGATCCTTGTACGGGAGATAAAGAGGATGTTCTCTCACCTTGCCTTAATTTCACACACTCTGCACGATATCCCAGCAGGATTTCTTTCTCCATTTCATGACAATGTTGAACAGAGCTTTGTCTGCTGTGAAGCTTCAGCTTATGCTGTCTAGGGAACAGCATAGAGAAGAACATATGTGAGTGTGCACATGTTCCTGGGCATGACATGAATCATCTCAATAGACTGTTTTAACATGATGCACTTAGATAACACAAAGGCTGAAAGATAAGCACTTACTAAACATGAGATGGCAGTGATGCGTGCAGGATTAATTTTGCTTCAGTCTGTGAAAGGATGATGATGCATTCTTTCAATACATACTCATACATTTATTCTCAAATACTCTCTTGCACATTTTTGTTATGTTTTCCCATTATCCAAGCTGGTTGCCCCAGGCTCCCTTTATAGACAATAAGAAGAAACAAGTATTTCTGCAGTGCAATTCATCTCATCTGAAAATAGACATCCAAAATACGACAGCTGAATCACCCTTGAAAAATACCCTTCAATCATTTACACCTGTACAAAATACAGTCGCTTGCCTTGATTTGGCTCACACACAATTGCCTTGTGTGAAGGGCAAGATAAAAGACAATCCAACTCATTCTTCCCCATCCCTCTCTAGACTTCAAGGCTATGATGTGTGTTATCGCTGAAATATTTCTGGTAGATGCAGAAAATGCCAAACTGGAAGAGAAAATTGTAAGCAATTTTCCTCATTTCTGTAAATCATTGAATGCACCTCATTACCTTTATGAAAAGCTCCATTTTCTAAATTTGTGTCTATTCTTGTTTTCCTCTTTGGGCTGTTAAACTTCTGCAGCACCATAAATACTACATGCTTCTCTCCCTCTTTGCACTCCTCTTCTTGATTAAAAATCTCCATCAGTGCTCACCATTGAAGAACTCTGGCAACAGATTCTAGATGGCCGTATTTAAAAGCAGTCATAGCTTCATATTATGTCCTAATGACTAAAGTAAATTATTCTATGTCAAATCCCACCCAAAAAATATTAATTAAACACATTTTCTGTTTTCTCTGTGGTTCAACCTAAATTTTAGCTCTTACCTAGTACATCAACAGGAAAATTGAGTATATAATGTGCCTCATAAGGTAACAACTATAGCAAGATTTAATAATAATTTATATTCCTACAGATTTGTAAAACCTAAAGAATCTTAGACACGACGTAATGATTCCAGATTCACACCAGAAGGACCAAATTCAACATCTGGATCATAATTTCATCCAGAGTAAAATCTTCAAGTCATGAAGCTTCTGTGTGCATGTGCTGGGCTGGGGTGTGTGTGTGCAAGATGATGTGCATTTCTGAAATGGAAACACCAGGCAATTTTATGATTTTATTCATAAAATGTGCGAGAGAAAGTTGTGTCCCACACACCTAAATAAAAATTAAAAACAAAATAATATTATGTTCATCTGACTCTTTAAATGTTACTGCAATTTTTTTCTGCCTATGTTATTTATAGAGTATCTGTCACTGCATACACCAGCTGCATAACCACTGCTATTTGGGTATGATCAAATTAAAGTCTTAGGACTAAGAGAGGTGGCCATTAAATTCTGGGGAGGAGTGGGAGGGGCCTGGAGCTGAAAAATGGAAGTACTTTGCATTATGAATTCTTGTGACTACTCTTCCTCAGCAAGTGTCCTCACTTCTCCTCAAAGCAGGACTGTCAGGGCATGCCTGGCCAGGTGCAGTACGAGTGAGACAGCACTTGCCTGGCATGACATCACAAAGGCCTCCCCTGGCAAAAGAGCAGTGAAGAAGCATTGCTCTCTCTGTCCTCCTTTCCAGATGAAAATATAGTACATTCATGCCAGAGGAGAACTCCCAAAGACCGACAGACCTGAAGAAAAGCTTGGACATAGAATCTGCTAGTGGGATCGGCATGCTACCTGTCTGACCTAGGAGATATATCTCGAGCAAAGATCAGGAAAATAAACTACCCTACTGGAATGAGGCATCCCCTTCCTTCTGCTTGTTTCACAGAGATTTCTGTTTATATTTTGAGATATTGTTAATGAAAATCAAGGCTAGTTTGGGGCAAGCCCCAGAGAAGGGCTGCTTCTCACTCATGAGCTTTGGTTGTATACAGGGAGAAACAGGGAAGGCTGCTGATGTTGTGCAAGTGGGAATTCAGAGAACAAAGATTGCCTCTTCACACAGAGCTGCTGTGCTCTCCCTGTACTGGGTGGTCATGTCCATGTTTCCATCACTCTGTAGGGACAGCCTCTAGGACAGGTTAAAGGCACCTGAAACCAAGCTCCTCCTGAATGAACTGGCAGAGCCTGTGGAGGTTACTTCTTTCCTGGAGGAGCTGTATCAGCAGATCAGCTGGATAACCACACACTTCACCTGATTCATTGACTAAATCTCCATCATCCTGGAGCTTAAACTTCTAACTTAGGTGTGGACACTGACATACAGGAGTCTGAACTTCCTAGCAACTCAACACCTTGGTCTGACAGCAGGGTCTGCCAGGAGGCACTGGCCTAGGTGTGCTCTCCAAGCCATAGAGAAGGAGCAAAATGTCTTTCCTTACTGGCATGCGTCACTTGAATCAGTAACATCATCATACAGAGCAAAAGTCATGAAGATATTTCTGATTCCTGCCTGGGTTCTGAAGAATATGGAGCACAATGATTCAGGTAACATATAGCCAAAATCATCCAATCTAGTTCCCTCTAAAAATGATCCTGCCAATGATAGGGCTGGATACAGGGGAGCTGGAAAGCAGGACACAGAATTCTCTAAACTTCTTGATTTTATAAAAGCGATTTCCAAGGAGAAAGTAAAGAAATTGGATAAATCCCTATCAAGAGATCTTTGGAGTAATGGGCTGAGGGGAACACAGTGGGCATGCAAGGGTTCCTCCATGCCTTGTCCAGAAGGTATGATTCCTCAAACAGAAACACAGAAAGTGAAAAAAATAGCCATATGAGGAAGGAAAATGTAGTCCTTTAGCCTTATCTCTTTAGAGACTCTTATCTCTTCTATCCTATGTATTTTCAGCTCAGTGCAGAGCTCTCTTCTCCCCTGTTCAGAAAGAAGATCAATTGATGCCACAGATAAAAAAACTACACAGAATCATCATTCATCAGAATATGTGCCGCTCTGCATCTTCTGCATCTGAGCAATTTCCAGAGGGTCCAGAAAAGACCTTGATCCCGGCATGTCAGATGCTACAAAAACCTGAGTAAGAAAGAGTCTCTGGCCCAGTGGGAGCAGGGAAAGGCTCAGAAGCAAAGGGAGATAGTGTGAGTATATAGGAGTGGTTAATACTAAGATGACAAAATGAGAGTTTAGATTCCTAGCTTGAAATAAATAAATAGAAGTCACTCTTATCTTCCTAGTGAAACTCCTGATAGAGATAGGAGTTAGAGATAGTAGAAAGCTACCTGCCATGATTCCTTTATAGATCTTCAATACCAAGGACATAAAGCAGCCAGGAGTAAATTCAAACACTTTCCCAGTGCAGCTACTGGCATTGATTTAATTTTCAATTCTTTTCTGATTGTCCTGTAAGATTCACAAAGCAGCATGAAAACTTCAGAGGGAGAGACAGAGGCATATTTAGGTTACAGTCAGGCTGAACTGCTCTGAGATATCACACATGTTGCAAAGAAAGGATTTGCAATTCATTTCACCTGCCTTTGGATTGCTAGAAGTCATGCATGTAGTCAGGGCTAATTGGCCCTTTATGGATTGTGAGAGAAAGGCATTTTGAGAAGGTGATTCATCCTACCCCTGAGATGAATATCCTGCATGAGTGGCTATCAGCCTCTGGTGGCTGCACAGGAGCTGGGCCATGGCTTGTGCTGGATGCACAAGTCCTTAGCTGGTCAGAGTCACTCCAGACAGATTGAGAGGAGCCCACGTACCCTGTCAAGAAGAGTTTGCACATCTGCAATTTTTTATACCTAGAGGAAAATTCCTACATCAGTCAGTCCACTTTCTCTGCCTGCTCTTGTATTTTGGCTACACCTATCATTAAATTTTTCTTCCTGTTCTCCTGATATTAGTGCAATTAGCCACTACCAGAGAAACAGTTCTAGTGGGAGGTGAGGGACGGGGTGGGGGAAGGAGAAATAAAACACACTGCATGCAAAACCATTTCAGAGGCTGAGAGCAAAAAATCAGAGCACAGGCAGAACAGCCTGAGTGTTTCTGTGAGCTTGCAGGCACAACACAAGTAAACATCTGAAAGACAAAACTACTATCAGCTCAGCATAGAAAGCAAGCTGCCAGATCCAGAAAAAAATGAGAGTGAGGCCCAACTTAAGCATGTGTGTGCATGCTGAAAAGAGCCAGAAAATCTCTACAAATGTCACCATCCACTCTGGTTTGATATACGCGCCCCAGAGGCCAAGAACTTGACTCTCAGGTCTTTTTTTTGTGCAAACTGTGACATCTCAGACTCACATTAAGAGCTATCTATATGTTTTGGCTCAATATCTGCACCCAGTTACGTTGGTGGACAGAACTTCGGATTCACACCAACCTAACAGAGTTTATTTTGCCATTTGTCTGTGTTTAGTCTTCATATTAGAAATTAAGTCAAGCAATGTAGATTGGGATGGAAATTCCTTCCTGAGGACCAGGGCTGTGTTCTGTGCAAACCACCTGGCAGGCACTGAAACACTTTTTTCAAAAATTACTAGTGAGAAATCTAGCTACTCATTTTTACCTAAGTATCATCATTGTTAAGCTGTGCATTGCCATGGGCCTGTCATTTAAGATTTCTGCTGGATAAGAACACACCCCAAAAGTAATGAGCTCAGTTAACGACACTATGAACTCATCAAGGATTTTTTTTGAGCTAAAAATATACTTTCTGTGATCTGTTAGTGAAACCATCCTTCCTGTCAATGAACCAGGGCTGTGGAGGGATGAGTTGCATGAGTTTCCCAGTGGAGTGTTTCCCAGCCCATGCCACAGCACAGGGTGAGTTGCACAGAGCCCCCTTCCCTGGCTCAGGAAGTTTTCCAGTCAAGGCCATCTCCCTCAAAGGATTGTTGGCATTTGGTGTGGCATTGGCTCACAGCTTCCCTCCACCTGGGGGAGGGTGGAGGGTCCCCACTGAGCCCAGTGGGTCTCTGTCAGCTCTTTGCTGCCTCCTGACACAGGTTGGCCACGTGAAGGAGCCTGTTTTATCACACTCACCACATGAAACCCAGAGAGGAAAGGTAAACCTGGCAGTAGGTAAAGTCATTATTAATCTCATGGGCAAATGAA